CATTGCGGTCCCGGCAAACAGCCTGTGGTCGGGAGAGGAAGCCATGCAAAGTCCTCAGACGTGAGCGGGTCCAAAACCTCTATCTAGAACTCGCGTGCCGAATCCCGTGATGAACCACTTGAAGACGATATGTCGCTGTTGCTGGACGGAGAAGAAACCGCACACACTCCTTGTCCTTGAGCTTGAGTACCCAGCGTTGGAACGAGCCGGGCAGCATAGTTCTCAAAAGAAAATAGAAGCGGAGGACTGTCGACTTCCGCGTGCGCCTCGGAATGAAGGCTGGTCACTCGCGAAGAAACTAGTTCCGAAGGCATCGAGAGTGTCGTCGCATCACTCTCAGCGGTGCTCAGTTTCCCTGTCGACCCTTGCCCTTCAGTGGGCAAACCGGCGTGAGATGAAGATCGTTGTTGCACCATAGGCAATAATGGAATCTCTCGCGCGCCTTGTAGGCGGACTTGGAGAGGCCATACGGGGTCCATGGGCCTGTCTGAGCTGCTGCACCGGGCCCGGGGCTAGAAACGGTGTGTGTCTTCGGCTTGCCGCGCCCTCGGCCTCTGTCAGCGCGGCCACCTTCCCGGGCGGCTGCGAATCTGTCTCCTTCACTGGCAGACACAACCTCGCTGGTTTGGTCTAACGGCGCTGCCGCTGCGACCACGGCCACTCGTGGCCTATGCTGGTTCCCGCTCGGGCCTGACGCAGAAGAACGGAGGTTCTTGGCCTCCTTGTTCGTAACGATGATCTGCGCAGCCTTGTCGAATAATTCCGCCGTCGTCGTCAAGGTGTCCTTGACATGTGTCAGGGCATTGCTCAATGTCGGACATGACCTTGAGATGAAGTAGTGGCGGATGGCCTTGAAGCCCATCTGGATGTCTGGGACTGACGTCAAGAGTTGGTACTCGACGATCCAGTCCGTACTCGGCAACGTGCCTTGCTCGAAGACCATGAGCTTGTCCATGGCTTTGATCTCTGGCGGCTCCACCTGGAACCGCTTGTGCCACGCCGCCTTCAGATCATCCCAGCTGATCATGGTGTGCAAGTTCGCTGCTACCACTCCGTACTTGGACAACAAGTTGTCCAACCACGCCTGACACGCGCCCCCTGAGTGAGAGTACAAGCAAGCATGGTGCTTGTTTTCCTCGACGTTGTGGAGCTGCAGTGTGAGCTCGAACTTGCGAAACCATGGAATTGGATCTGTCTTGATTGAGTCGTGGAAGATCTCCTGCCCATCGAACTTGGGAGCTGTCTCGCGCGGCTCCGGACTCGAGGTAGTGGCGGTAGTGCAGATCCGCTGCTGCAATTGTTGCGTCGCGGTCTGCTGCAACTGTGCGCCATCCTGGAGGGAGGGAGCCGACGTGCATCTCCAATGCGGTGAGGCGGTCGGCAGTATTGGAAGAGCATGCGTCGGCGGCGGTGACTGGTCACTGCTCCACCCGCTGAAGGCGGTCTTGGAGCTGAGCTACCGAGTTGTCGAGACCAAGGATCTCCGCCTGCTGTGTAATGCAGGTTGCCAGGAGATCCGTGAGAGGCGAGAGGAGGAGCGCTATCTTGTTTGCGCTATCCTCCAACTGGTTATTCTCAGCCTCGCTTCGTCATTCTGCTGCCATGGTAAGTAATGCCCGCTCTCCAGTGAATATCTTCTCACGACGCTGTGTCCTTTCTTCGTCGGCAGCCCTTGCTGCTGCCTCGTCGTGCTGGCGCTGTTGTTGCACGGCCAGCAGACGTGCCTGCTCGGCATCCTCTGCCCTTTTCTTGGTTGTTGCGGCAGCGTCATCTGCCCGCTTCTTTGTCTCGGTACTCCAGGCTAACATGCGGGCCTGATAGGCCTCGTCTGTTTCCCCGACCTTCTGGTCCATGACTGCTGTCTGTGAACGCAACAGCATAGGCCAGACCGGTGCCTATTGATGTGGTACCCCTTGCTGCTAACGTGGCAATGCTGACGTGTCCTGCTGACGTGTCTTGCTGACGTGTCCTGCTGACGTGGTCTGCTGACGTACTTACGTAGCCTGATGACGTTTCCTACTGACGTGGTCTGCTCACGTGGCCTGCTGACGTGGCAACTTACCAATGCCATCACAAGGGTACCCGGAGACAAGCAGCAATGGCAAGGCGGAGGGATGGCAACAAAGTAGGTGGGGAGGGGTGGGTGGGATAATCGCCCAACTCACACTTAGATAAGGAGCCACTAATCAAAC